GTCAAAGCAGTTTGGAGAGAAAAACAAAGTAAAGAACAAAAAAAAGAAGAAAACGATTAATCGATTATGATTAGTCGTCGATTAATCGATTAATCGTTGCAGCCCTACTGACAAACATAGACCTACACACAGCTCTGTACCGTTTCTTTACTTTAACGTTCTCCCAGAGACCACAAGGCAGTGGGCAGACGACCCTTTGACAAGATGGCCACGCTCCTGGCCTACCTCGGTCCACCAGAACACAAGCCTGTTGCCGACACACACTGGTCCAGTCTCAACCTGACAAGCTCCAAGTTTGAAGAGTTCATGACCAGGTAGGATTAGTGTTGCACAAGTCCTTCTAAAATCTGAATCCTGATCACTGTTAGTGTGAATTTATTGCAGTTAAAAATCATTACAACTATTAAGATGTGGCATACCAAATCGACCATTCAGATAAGAGTCTACGCAGGTGCTGATGAATTTGTTCTCATTAAAGGTTTGATTTTTCAGCTCAGCTTTGTGCTTAAAGCTCTGAAAGTCTGACATGTTTTTCTTTCCTCCCAGTCAGGATCATGTTGTTCAGATTAAAAAGAAAACTAAGTAGGTCCTCTGGACGGGTTCTGTTTTAATGAAACGTTTCGTCTCTCCTCCAAGAGACTTCTTCAGTCTGAGAGTTTCAGGTGAACTCAGGACCATTTATTGTTTGGCTGATGGCCCTGTTTTGCATGTGACCAACCTGTTTGTCCACCTTGTGGAAGCAGTGCTTATTACCCCAAAAATGTACATTACATGCGTTCCGGATCCGCTCCGCTTCGGTCCGACCTCCGCAGCAAATACGCACCCATTATAATCAATGAGAGTGTTTACACTGGTTTGCACACAGCGGCGGTGAGCGGATGGCGATTCGGCTAAATTAGAACAGATCCTATTTCTGCCGAATGCCAGAGCAGCGCCGGAGTCAATTTTTAAAGATTACGTCGCACCAACAGGAAAAGACACGAGCACAACATCCGTTTTTTCAAAATAAGACACTTTTAGACAGGATAATTTGTCAGAATAAAGTCTAAATCTCAGCTATATTAATAAATATATGGATATATTTCTACATAAATGCTGTCAGAATGTATCGTTCTGTTTGGGAAGCAGGTGGAAATAAATACCATGAAGCAGATATGTACACACACGATACACGTGGATTTTATTTTGAAATCAGAAGTTTCAGAAAGCTGACAGCGAGACAGTTTCAACATAGATACCAAAAGCCAATGTCAATGTTTTCAGCTGTGTTTGGAGTTCGTCTTTGACAGAAATAATTATTTTTTTGCTGTGACTTCCACGCTTATCACTGAATTTATCGCGCGATCTCCTTCCTGCACACTCTCTGTCGGAGCGAAGCGGAGGCTGTATAAATTGAGACACAAACGAACAGCTGCGACCTGCGCACCGCAGCGCAGCGGAGCAGAGACGCATGTAGTGTAAATCCGCGGTAAGGCTGAGTTCACCTGAAACTCATCAGACTGAGGAAGTCTCTTGGATGAGAGACAAAACGTCTCATTAAAGAAGAACCCATCCAGAGGACCTACTTAGTTTTCTTTCTGATTTCTCTACCTGGATTACTGAGATGCATCAGGACAATGTTCAGATTATCAGCAGAATGACAGATTATTATTTTTCACTAAACTGTTTATTAATTTAGCAAGAAACTGTGTTAAAACAAATAAATTGTATAAATAGATGGTTTTAAAAAATGCAACATCTGAATGTTTTTTTGTTCAGTATTAGACAGTCCCTCACAGTCTGCTAAAGCCAGTATCTGACTGGTTTGTGACTGATGGAGACCAGCTGCTGATTCATGAGTGTCAGAAGATTTTCTGTTGTAGTCTGACTGAATTCTGAGTTTTTGCGACCAAATCATGTTGGAAATGAACTTGGGCAGATTTGGTTAGTTTTTCAAGTTATTATTTATCTTTGGTGTGGTTTGATGTGGATGTTCAGGCTGCATGAAATATTTTCATTTTCAGAATGGCCCCACCCCCTTTTTATGTCACACAGATAAAAAATATGTCCAAGTACAGCTTTTTTAGGGTTCTAAATTTCTAAATAACAGGACTTATATTATGATTGGATCTGTGCTGCTGCATACTGTTAGCCAGTCTGTGTGACAATCAAGTTTGTACAAGTTTGTCCCTGTTAGAATCCAGAACAAGATCTATTTGAACACACCTGTACATATAAGGCGATGCCCCATTCTACTTTAAAAAGCTGCTCATCCCACACATCGAAACTGATTCTCTCAGTTCCAACAACCCCTGCATCTTCAAATTGTTAGACCTACGCTCAGCACTATGGAGGACTAAGACTTTGGCTCTGCTGCTCCTTGTCTGTGGAATTCACTTCCAAACCATCTGAGTGAACCACAGACTGCAGGATCTTTTAAAAAAGGATGAAAAACTTTATTGTTCTGTCATTTTTATGACACTGTCAGCCATGCCGTCTGTGTTGTGTGTACATCACAAACTGACTGGCGTTAATGTTAAGTTACTGTTTTAAATAAAGAATTGTTCAAGTCCACATTGAGGTGCATTGAGGGTTGGGGGTTATTGTCTTGTAACAGGTGCTGAAATATCATCTGTCCTTATCCAACAGAGCAGTCATTTAAATGGGATTGATCCTAACTTCTTGTGTTTGTAGGCACCAGGTCCATGAAAAGGAGGAGTTTAAAGCCTTAAAGACACTCAACATTTTCTACCAAGCAGGAACCTCCAAGTCTGGAAACCCAGTCTTTTACTATGTAGCTCGCAGGTAAGACCAGTCATCCTCTGACTTATAATAAAACACAAATTTTCTTTGGCAGGATGTTTTATTGTTGAGTACTTACTTGTTTTGTAGGTTCCCTTTCAGTCAATTCACTCGGTACAACACATCATGTATGGGAAACCGCGCCTCTGCGTGTCCTGGCTGAAGCCACCTCTAATCACGCCTTTAGGCAGGTGACGTGATGACGACAGAGGTCAGGCTCCGCCTGCACATATAAATACTGTCGCATCACCGTCACTCCTTAGTTCTACTGCTCTTCACTTCGCAACAACACCCACCTCTTCCAACCTAGCTAGTTAGCTGCTGCTAATTAGCTTTGTTTGTTCGAAGGTTCTCGAATTTAGTTTAACAGCTTTTGTTGGTGTCAGCTGCAGCTGCCTACTGGCAACTGTGTCTGCCTGCGGAGCGCTAACTTTGAGAAACCTTTCTTATCTCGACGAAAGAGAGAATGTTGTGGTTCGGGATGAGCACGAAATTACTCAAGAAGAAGCAGAAGTCTTCAGTTCGCCCCTGTCCCCAGGGGTGCGGCTTCTCGCTCCATGAAAAGGACCAGCATGAGGCTTGCCCGGTCTGTTTGGGGGTCATCCACGCTCGTATAGCGTTGACGGAGCCCGAAGCGTGTGCGTTTTGCCGCCTGCTTCGACGCTCAACCCTGGAAAGACGGCTTAAGTTCTTGGAGAAAGTGCTGGGCAAGGCTGCAGTCGCGCGCCAGGACCCTTTCCTCTCCGAGTCTAGCAACCCGGTTCCGTCCGAGTCTGACGAGGAGGAGCTCTCGGTCGAAGTCCCCGCTCCCAGCTGGGCAGACCAAGTGGAGTATATGGAGGGGTTAGCCAACGAAGAGGAGGAGGCCTCCCAGTTTCATCTGGACCTCCACCACGGAGATGAGGACATGCTGGATATCGGCCTGGATGTGCATGGTCTGTCGGAAGACGACGATGAACCCAGTCCAAGTCCAGAAGCCCCCGCTGCTGTGGGGGCAAACCAGGAGGACACATCTTTTCTTTCTTTGTGTCGTCGCGAGGCTCAGAAACTGGAGGTGAAATGGCCTGCTCCCCCTCCTGCACAAAAACCGTCGCGGTTCACTGGATTTTTTCTCCCCACTGAACCGACTGCGGTGAAAAACCGCCTCCCCATGTTCCCAGATTTCGTCTCGGAGCTAACATCCTGCTGGACCAAACCTCTATCCACCCGCGTCACAGTGCCCGGTTATGGACCGTATTTGGATTTGGACAGACAATGTGACTGTAGTGTCATATATAAACAGACGGGGGGAACACGGTCTCTTCCCCTGTTGGAACTGTCTCACACTCTCTTGCAGTGGTGCAGCGTGCATTTCCTRTCTATCAGGGCCACTCACGTTCCTGGGAGGCTGAATCTGGGCCCAGATCTACTCTCCAGGGGCGGACCTATGGTGAGGGAGTGGAGGCTGCATCCCTCAGTGGTGGACCAAATTTGGTCAATGTTTGGCAGGGCAGCAGTGGATCTCTTTGCCACAAGGGCCAACACCCACTGCCCTCTGTTCTTTTCCATAACGGATCAGAACGCCCCACTGTGGGTGGACGCTCTAGCCCACCCGTGGCCCAACGTACTGCTGTATGCATTTCCTCCAGTGGAAATGATACTGMCTGTACTAGAGAGGGTACGCAGACAGGGTCTGTCTCTGATTCTGGTGGCACCCCACTGGCCAGCGAAGTCTTGGTACGCCGAGATAATGAGCCTGCTGGCTGCTCAGCCCTGGCAACTTCCTCTTCGCCAAGATCTCCTCTCTCAGGCGGGGGGGGGGGGAGATATTTCACCCACACCCAGAGTTGTGGAGGCTGCACGCCTACCTGCTGAAAAGTCTGGCTTTTTCCGCAATTAAAGTCTACTTGGCAGCTATCTCTGCTTGCCATGTGGGTTTTGATGGAGTTACGCCAGGTGCTCAYCCTYTAGCAGTGCGTTTTCTGAAGGGGGTCCGYAGSYTGCGGCCTGTTATTAAACCCAGTATCCYYACYTGGGATCTTACTGTGGTGCTCGAGGCTCTCTGTGACCCCCCTTTTGAGCCCTTGGAGTCTGTGGATTTGAAGTTTCTTTCATATAAAGTTGTGTTGCTTTTRGCACTAACAACTGTTAAACGGGTCGGGGATCTCCATGCTCTGTCTGTAAATCCCTCCTGTATTCAGTTTTCACCTGATGGCTCCAAGGTGGTGCTGCATCCAAACTCAGCGTATCTCCCTAAGGTGATACCTTCTCACTACAGCTCCATGTCTATTGAGCTTTCTAGGTTTTATCCTCCCCCTTTTGCATCTGAGGAACAGAGGAGGTTACATTCTTTGTGTCCTCTAYGTGCACTGCGTGTTTACATTGACCGCACACAGGAGGTGAGGTCATGCGATCAGCTGTTTGTGTGTGTTGCTAACCCACTCGGGGGCAGAGCTCTGTCCAGACAGAGACTCTCCCACTGGATTGTTGAGGCTATCTCTTTCGCTTACAGCAGCAAGGGTCTCCCAGTCCCATCTGGTGTGAGAGCTCACTCCACCAGGGGTGTAGCAGCATCCTGGGCCCTATTTAAATGGGTACCTGTGAGTGACATCTGTGCTGCGGCCAGCTGGTCTTCACCACACATTTGTTCAATTTTATCTCTTAGATGTGACAGCCCCCTCGGTGCCTCACTCTGTGCTCTCCGCTGGGTCTGACGTGCTGCACTAGCATGTTATTATGACCCAAGTTTGGTGCTGCTCTGCGGGGCATTTATATATGTCCCATACATGATGTTGTACCGAGTGAATTGACTGAAAGGGAACGTAATGTTATGCATATAACTACTGTTCCCTGAAGGAAAGGAACGAGGTACAACACATGGTGGCCCCGCTGCACAGCTGGGCTCAGTGAAGAGTGGTTACCAAACTAAGGAGTTACTGTGATGCGACAGTATATTTATATGTGCAGGCGGAGCCTGACATCTGTCGTCATCACGTCACCTGCCTAAAGGCATGATTAGAGGTGGCTTCAGCCAGGACACGCAGGGGCGTGGGTTCCCATACATGATGTGTTGAACCTCGTTCCTTTCCTTCAGGAAACAGTAGTTATATGCATAACATTATGTTTTAAATGACTAAAAATAACAGATTTATTCAATGTTTTGTGGTGTGGTTTTCAGTAAAAGAACACTTATCTTACAAATCCTCCTGGGATGATAGAAAACCTTGCCAGAGAACATGTGGAAGGATAAAAAAAACTTTTATATATAAGTGGTAGAATGATACAACACATTTTAGTACATATAGTAAGATGATGAACCTTTTGGGAGAACCTGTACTGAATACAATAGACCGTAAAAAACTATTATAAAAGGTTACAAATACAAAAAGACATGAAACCAAACCATTCAAATAATACAAATGAAACTCATGTTGTATTATCTGCAGGAGATCAGACAGGTCCACAAGAGTCTGTCCTTCAGGACCTTCCAGGTCATCAGTAAATGCAGAAACAGCACAGAGGTTGTTTGCAAATATACTTCTTTAAAACAGCTGCTACTCCTCCGCCATGTCCAGAAGTCCTCTGTGTATAAAAAATATAAACAGTCAACTGGTAAAAGTCCAGTAAAACAGCTGGATTCACCTATATTCTGCCAGCTTTCAGTCAAAAACATAAAATCCAAGTCAAAGCAGCTAAAAAGTTTATTTAAAATAAAAGTTTTTTTTATTTGCAAGCAATCTAGCACGTACCAAGCTAAACTTAACAGAAGTCGACAGGTTTGCTTCCTGGCGACTTTGACACAGTGGCTGCAGGTTCTGGCGGTTCACACACCTCGGAGCGAACACGAGTAGCACTGATGGTGAGGTTGCACAACTCCATCCAGGCTGAGAGCAGGTACCAACCGTATACCAGCAGGGTCCAGCCATAAATAAGCACTACATGTATCATACTTCAGGCTCAAAGTTTGACTAGAAGCCCACCCCCGCTGCCGTGTCTCAGGCGGCAGCTCCTGCGAGGCAGTTCAGTGAGAGAACATGACAAACAGGTGGGCACCGAGGTCAGGTGAGGGGGCACCGTCCTCCAGTAAGTATCGGAGGACATTGAGAGACTCTCCAATACATCCCCAGTATTTAAAAGAGTTTGGTGGTCATATGCCATTAATGAAAAGACAACAGCCACCAAAGACAAAAACACAACGCCATGTTGGGTGAATGTGTAGGTGAAAGGTGATAGATGAAAGAAAACATTTATACTGAACATGTAATAGAGAGAAGAACACATTTCTGGAGAACATGTGGTGGGATAAAAGAAACCTTTTCTGGAGTAAGGAGTATGTGGAGACCTTTAGTCATTGTACTGATTCAGGGTTTAGGGTTAGCCTCTAAACCTGGTTGAAGGCTGCAGTTTAAGATTTAAAGAGATTCCTAATTAGTTGTAACATTAGACTTTATTTCATAAAAATTTATTTTAACAGTAAAATAAAGACTGTAAAAATACTGTAGGCTGTTTAGTTTTGTACATTTTTAAAAATATATTTTA